GTATGGCCAAAGTGCAGGACCCAGCACCATCCCTAATTCCCTAACCCTTCTCCTGGTGTACTTTTGGACCTTATAAAGAGGTGGGAGATATTTTAGCAGCCCAGGAGCTGGTGAGGCCATGCCTGGAGCCTGTTGCATCCAGGCCATGTCACCCATTTAAATATAATGGGACCGTGTGGGACGGTGACCATAAAAAGCAATGTCAGGGCAGAGCATCTGATCCTCCCTGGGCAGCTGGATCAGCTCCCTGATGACTTTTCCAGGTTGTTGCTCGTGCCACAGGCCCTGTCTGTTGCAATAGTGTCAGTCAGAAGGAGAATATCATGGGATGGATATATATTTATACATATTTGCTCTGTGCCAAGCATGAGCCTTGGGGGATGTGCATGGACCGGGATCGGCGAGCACATCCCTGGGTCAGCAGCTCAGGGAGGGATGCTCCACACAAATGCTTGAATACACATATTTCCCCTTCTCCCTCACTCCTGGAATTTGCCCTTTGCAAAACTAAGGCTCAGGGATAACAGTTTTCCCTCGACACCCACTGGTCCAGCACATCAGCACCCTCTGGAGCAAGGAAAATGGGATTTTAATAGGGGCTGGAGTGGCTGTGATCACCCGTGGGTTTGGTTGAATCATGGATTTAGGTCACATCTGAAGCAAATTACAGTCATAAAGTGATATTTCTGTCTTTTCTCTTTACTAATGTGCCCCTCAGTCGCTTTATTTAATTATTTGTTTTCAATGTAAAGAGGTAGAAAAGCTGTTTGTTCTCTCTTGGAAGTAAAATCCATGCTCAGGCTCTTAAGACACTGATTCTTAAGGCACTGATTCATGGCCTTGACCCCCCAAATCACCTTATAATTTATGAGTATTTAATTAGTATCTCCAGAGGAAACATCACCCATTTGATAGGAACACACAGCCCAGCCCTGGTCCCACTGGTCTAATTGGATCTACTGGAACTGGGGAGACAAATCAATACTTTTCTCCCAAGGACAAGAGGGCACAGACTCAAGCTCTGCCAGGGGAGGGTTAGGTTGGATATTAGGAAGAGATTTTTTATGGAGAGAGTGATCAGACATTGGAATGTGCTGCCCAGGGAGGTGGTGGATTCCCCATCCCTGGAGGTTTTCAAGCTGAGACTGGATGTGGCACTTAGTGCCATGGTCTGGTGACCACGGTAGGGTTGGACTGGATGATTTAAAGTCTTTTCCAACCCTGTTGATTCTATCACTCTATGAACCTGGGCTAGTGGAAAGTGTCCCTGCCCATGGAAGGGGTTGGGAGGAGACTAATTTAATCCTTTCTTCCAGTCTCTTCCAGTATAAATCCTGAATCATTTGGAGTCTTCCAGCTAGGACATCACAGAATCATGGATTAGTATGAATTGGAATGAACCTTAAATCCCATCTCGTCCCACTCCCTGCCATGGGCACGGACACTTTCCACTAGCCCAGGTTTCTCAGCATTGCTTTGGATGCTGCATCCATCCAAAGTATCTCCCTGCCCCAACCCCTTCCCACTGTTTTTCC